GGAGTTATAGCCATGATATAGATGGTAGAGTAAATGTCTTATCATACTAGGAGTTCCCAAATTACAGGCCACAGACCAATTGTATCAGAATCACCTAAGGGTCCTAAAAAAAGTTAGATTCCTGGGACCCACTATAGACCTGCTGAGCCAGAATCTCTAGGGTTTGGGAACTAAGAATCTGTATTTATTTTTCAGGGTCTATGGAAAAAAAAAAACAAAAAACCATAGCTGTATGCCATGTCCAATGACTTTTATCCAAGCCTCTATTTGAAATACCACAGTGATAACAAACTTGATCAGAGAGACCTTTTAAAAATATAAGTTAGGATACAGTCCTCCTGTATTACAAATCTGTCCAATGGCTTTCTGTAAAGTGAAAAGCCCAAGTTCTGAGTTTAGATGCTCTCAATCCTTACTACTTCTCTGGTCTCATTTCCTTCCAGTTTTTCCCTCCTCCATTCTGTTCCATCCACACTGGGCTCTTGGCCGTATCTTGAACACTCTGAGCACAGCCTAAGCCAAGGGCCTCTGTCCTTGGTGATTTCCTTTCCCTGGTGCACTCTTCCTCCAGACAACTCTTTGCCTCTGCCTTCATTCTACTATCTTTTCAAACGTCACTTCATCATCAGTGCCTTCCATTACTAACAGATATAAAATAGCCCCCCTCCCACTCTATCCTTAGGGTATCCTGATTCCTCTTTTGCTGCTACTTTATTTTTCTTCACAGCATAGTGTTTGTCCTAAGCTCTTCTCCTCTAGACTCACTTTTCTGGGGGGAGAAAAAAGGGCTCACTTCTACTTGCTAAGTGAAGAGTACCTTCTTATTCTTAAAACGACTTCAGGTCAAATGCTGAAATTGAGAAATTCTCTTCTGTACCACACACTCTCTTCTTTCCACTAAGCACACCTTATCATAATTCTTTGTGGTGACACCTCCTATTTCCACCTGCCATTTTCCCTCTTGATTGGACTTAGCTACTTGTCTGACCCACATATAACCCCTCCCTTGCATGCACCCCACCCTCACTGTTTATCTCCCCAATGCTGTGCTCATGAGTATTCCAATAAAAAAGCCCACCCAGAATTGTTCTCCCTGGCTCTCCCCTTGCCAATCAGTGCTTGCCCTGAGATATGCATGACCCTTCTCAGCGCCAGCCAGTTCAACTCCCTACTTCACTGTAGCATCCTTTTCTTACAGTGACTACTCTCAACCCTTCTCACTCCCCTTAAAGATTCATTTCTGCTTCAATGTTTCTGAAAAGGTCCCTTTTGCTCATGTGTCGGTAAAGATCACTAATTCCTTGCTTTCTTTCTTCTACAAAAAGATAACATACACTAAACAAAAACAAAATCTCTTGATATTTTCTCCTCTCTCTTGACTCATAGCTCAGTAGAAGCCTTTTCCTGTGATTTGTTATCATATTCTTTGATTATCTTGTCTCTTTTGTTTTATTCTACCCAATTGCTTTCTTACCACACTGGTACTTCTTCACGACCTTTGGAGGGATATTTTGAACAATTAATAAATAAACCAAACCAAAAAAAATTCCAGTATGTTCTTTCTGGGACGGCCAAGGGGATTTCACCCCAGCACAGTCTGACCGTGTATCAGATTTCCCTTCCATGCATCTCATTTCACTTCCCAGGGCTTGGAATGCATGTGAAGCTCTCATGGTCTTGGTCTCTCTGGCCTCTCTCTCTGCAGTTCCCCTCCTTTGTCAATTCTATACCCTTGTCTCCTTTCTGTGATAGCCTAACTTCTTAAAAGAAAAAGTTCCACCTTCTAACTAACCTCAGTTCCCACTTCTTCCTAACCTTAGTTCCCACTTCTTCCTACCTCCTTCCCCTCTTCTTCTTTAGCAATCCACAGAGCCTGCTCTCAGAAAGGTTGCTAGCGATCCCAAAGATTAAGTCATAGCAAATCTGGTGATGTGTGCTCTATTCTCACCATTCACTGTAACATTTGATGACACTGTCCAGTTTTCCTCTTAAAATTTTTCTTTTCCATTGATTTTCAAAGAATGAATTACTTTTTGTGATTTCTCCTCCTATCTCTGAGTTTACTCTTTTTATGTCTACTTTCTGGGTCATCTTTCTTTTTCTACCCCCTAAATATAGATTTTTCCCTCAAAGTTCTCTCCCATGTACAGTTGACCCTTGAACTACGTGGGAGTTAGGGACACCATCCCCTGTGTGGTCAAAAATCCACATATAATTTTTGACTCTCCAAAAACTTAACTAGTAATAGCCTACTCTTGAGTAGAAGTCTTACTGATAAAATGCATGCTATATATATTACATACTGTATTCTTACAATAAGGTAGCAAAAATAAAATGTTATTAAGAAAATCATAAGGAAGTTACAATACACTTGCAATACTGTTTTGAAAGAAATCCACAAATAAGTGAACCTGTGTAATTCAAACCCATGTTTTTTAAGGGTCAACTGTATTTCTCTATCTATACACATACCTAGATCTTTATTGCCTCTTTACATTCAAAGGCATTTTCTCTAAAAAGATTGCTCTTGGTCAAATCAAGTCTGCCTTGTGATATTTAGTTCTAGATACAACTTATTCCATTCATTTCACTCCAAGACTCTTTGCAGAAGGAGCTGAGTATTAATAACATTTATATCATCTTTCATGACTATCAGTGCATACATATTCTAGAGGCTTAGTATTGTTCAAATTGAATTAATGGATACTGAGAAAGGCAAGGTTATGGACTACTGAGCACAACCCTGTTTTGTGACCATAGTCCAGGCCAGGGATTTCAAGTTTTTGCATTCTCTGAGCCAGATTCTAGAATGGGTAACAAATATGGACAAATTAGCAAAACTTAATCATAGACCTTGCTAAATAAATCAAAATCATGTATCCAGAAGTAAGTCATATATACAACGTATAGTCAGCAGTCAAATTTCATTAGGATTTTACTTGAAAAAACTGTATATAATTTTTCTAATATACAGAGTAGATCTCCATTATCTCCTAATTGATCAACCAGCCAAATCACAAGGTTATTTGCGTGTGTGTGTGTTTGTTTTGCTTTTTGTATTATTTTAGCTCTCTGACTCTCTTAGTGCTGCTCATTAATCAAGGGTTAGGAGATATAAGAGAATACTATTATATCCTAGCTACTATAACTATCCCAGGCATGGGCAGAGCAATTCCATTTAATCTTCATAATGCAGCATGCAAGATATTATAATTTCCACTTTACAAATGAATAAAATGAGGATTAAAAGGTTAGGATAACTTGCCCAAGGTGAAACAGCCAGAAAAGGCAAAGCTTGAACACAATGGGGGGCTATTTGACTGCAATGCCATGATAGAATGTGGTAAGGTAGGAGTCAGAAACCCAGGGGCTAAATCCTTCTTTACAGAAGTGTTCTGTTTGGTTGTAAGAGCGTTTACATATATTTCCACTTGATTTGGATACCTCTGGGGTAGGGAACCCTTCAGGCTCAGGACTCCCTCACTGTGTCAACTACTGATTCACACATTCGTGTTACTTGACTGATACCTTTAATCATTTGAGCTCTCCACTTCCATGATGAGGCGTCCTCCCTGCCCTTACTGAATTTATTTTAGTGTAGGGAAGGGAAGGATCAGGATAGAAACCAAGAAAAGATGTGCAATATTACAATTCCTAAAGATGTTAGGAACTGTTTTGTTTCCCTGTAAGTGCAGGAAATGTACAATTCTGATGTAACTCACATTTATCAAGCCACATGCTCCAAACTACACTGTTTTTCAATCATCATTAGATTTATGCTTCCCAATAATTCTCCGATGCTGGGCTTTTATCATCCCCAATTTGCCAATGAGGCACCTGGGATCTGGAGAGATTGGGTCATTTCCCAAGGCCACACAGCAGGTAACCAGTAGAGGTAGGGCTCCAAAACAGGCCACTGAACTCCAAATCCAAAATTCTTAAACACTCTTCCATACTGCTTCTGATTTAACTCACTATGGTGAAAAATAGACCTGTGGAGGACTTCTAGTAGGATCTTTAAAAATAACGTGTTCTCAAAGCATAATTTACATACAAAAAGATGCTGCCTAAAGTATGCTTTACAGTGAATTTTCACAAATAACCATACCCAGTTAATCAGGACCCAGATCAAGGAACCCCTTGAATTCTCCACTTACCCCACTCTCAAGTCTAAACACTATCTTGATGTTTAATAGCACAAATAAATTGTGCCTGTTTTTTCTGATAAATGGACTCATACAATATGCCTTCTTTTATGTTTGACTTCTCTCACTTATTATGTTTGTGAAATACATCCACATTGTTGCATGGACTTGTAAATCATTTCTTTTCATCGTGGTATAGTTTAATGGAATTTTGTTACTGCGCTTTGTTTTTGTATTAAATAAAGATACATTTGATTTTTCTCTCCTGACACAGAAAAAAAAATATGTATTCAACTAGAGATTCTCAAGATACTATCATTTAAATAGATGCAGGAAAGTATTAAAAGGTGAAAGCGGATCATGCCAAAGATAGTACCCATATGTGTTTGTAAATTTATAGCAGTTTTGATGAGAAATGTTATGTTCTATTTTGGAAAACTACAAGTTAACACTTAATTTTAATAACCTGCTATGCATACTTATTTTGTTTAAGAGGACTGTTTATTCATGTATTTTTTTGAAAGAGGCTTTGTATTCTGAATGAGTCATATATAATAGGATGGAAAATACCCAAAACAAAATTAATTATAAATATTTAAATATTAAAGTAAATCTTATATCCATGTTCTAAAATAAATTCTTTAAAAATAGGAATGGTAAAGGTAGAAGAGGAATGAGTGATGTGTTTTTAAGTTTTTCAAATTTTATAATCATTTAAATTTTTTACATTTTTCTGATTCAAAAGTTTCCTTAAATAGTCCTTAAACTAACCAAATATGAATCTAGAGGAAACAAAAGTCTTATATTTCATCAGCAATGAAACTTTTTCTTTCATTAATATGCTCTGTCCTGTAGATCTGTCTGTGACTCCAGCCTTCCACTCCTCCACAAGAAGGTCTAAGGTTAAACAAAAACAATAGGAAGAAAGAGATCTTCCGATTGTAGACTTTTTTTTTTTAGTGACACTCAGAAAGGCACAGAAAATGCACAGGACACAAGAATTCTCATTTTTAATGTAATGTCTCCACCAATTACCCTGTTTTAATCTCTGGTGCATGTCCACGATCCTACATGAACATCTCTCCTAGTTCTGATCCACAGCTGTTGCCTTAGTTGCTGGTTTCCAGAGAGCATCTAGGGGCCAGGCTTGCTCCTACCCTGCTTGTTCTGGGTTAGATCCTTTGTCATGAGCCCAGTGTCCTCTTCTTGACCCTGCTACTTTCAACATGATGTTGGACCTCCCGGCTCTTTCAGCCCTCTTCTTATCCACAGGCTAAAGGCAGCTGACCGGTTGACAGCCTGGGTATTTAGTTTCCTTCAGAGATGACACAGGAAGTTTATTCTGCCTGTTTGTCACACTAGAGCAGCCATTCTCAACACTGGCTTGTGATTCTAATCACATAGAGTGTTTTTTAAACGTTCTGAAGCCCAATCCCAGGTATTCTGAATTAACTGATATGGGGCGTAGCCTGGATATTGGGATTTCTGAAATGTATGCAGATGTCAAAGACAAACAAGTAAGGTCCAGTTGAAGAGTTCATTGTGAACAGAACTCAACTTGGATTTGTATAAAGGTGACTGAGCATTTTAAAGAACAAATGAATGAGTAGAGGGAGGTGAGTGGGGTTTTAGTAAAGTCAAGGAAGTAAAAATTATATAAAGTGGGAAGCATTGGTTGGTCCACGTGAAATCTATCTGGCTTTGATAACTGGCTTTTATGGAACGTAGGCTCCCACCCTCCAGAGAGGCCTGGAGATAGGGGCCCTGTCTTTAGCTAAGGGCTACAACAAAGTTAATTCACTTGGCAGCCTTAAGTTTTCTCAGACAGGCACTTTATTTTATTTATTTATTTATTTTTGTTAATCTTATTTTTATTATTATGTTCAATTAGCCAACATATAGTACCTCATTAGTTTTTGAGGTAGGGTTCAATGATTCATTAGTTGCTTATAACACCTAGTGCTCATCAAAACATGTGCCCTCCTTAGTACCCATCACCCGGATACCTCATCTCCCCAACCCCTTCCCTTCTATAACCCTTAGTTTTTGGTTCCCTAAGTCCAGAGTCCCTCGTGGTTTCTCTTCCTGTCTGATTTCTTCCCATTCAGTTTTCCTTCCCTTCCCCTCCCCTGTGGTCCTCTGTATTATTCCTTATGTTTCACATCTGAATGAAACCATATGAAAATTGTCTTTCTCTGCTTGACTTGTTTCACTTAGCATAATTCCCTCCAGTTCCATCCATGTCAGTGTAAATGGTGGGTATTCATCCTTTCTGATGGCTGAGTAATATTCCATTGTATATATGAACCACATCTTCTTTATCCATTCATCTGTTGAAGGGCATCTCAGCTCCTTCCTCAGTTTGGCTATTATGGACATTGCTGCTATGAACATTGTGGTGCAGTTGCCCCTTCTTTTCATTACATTTGTATCTTTGGGGTAAATACCTACCAGTGTGGTTGCTGGGTGGTAGGGTAGCTCTATTTTTAACATCCTGAGGATCCCCCATACTGTTTTCCAGAGTGGCTGTGCCATCGGGCAAGCACTTTAAAGGGAACTTAGGTCATCCTAGGTGTGGCCTGAAGCTGTTAGAAACATGTTAGTGGTTTAGTTCAAGTCTTTGTAGGCCAAGTTTGAGGTTTTTAGAGAAGAGGATTCAAAGGAGCCTGGCTAGAGTTTGGTTGAGAGAATGTTGTCCCAGCCAAGTTTGAGAAACACTGATATAGAATTGTCACACTTGCCCCTTCCTTTCCCCTGAAGCCCAGGCTATTCTAAATATGAGATGGGTTGAACATGCCGTGACAAAGCCTTTGGCGAGGTTTTAAACTTTTTTTTTTTTTTTGCTTGTTTTCTTTTTCCTCTTCTTGTCTATAAATTTTTTTGCCCAGCTCTGATTAAGAATACACTTGTCACCTAGCTTTCTAATCTTGTTACCTGCCTATTTGGACTTCCCTCCCACTGCCTTGTTCTGCTATAGGATTGCACTTCACTCTTTAGACTTGGACCCTCCCAGGCAGCACCCATTTCCTGCCCCCACTGTAGACCAAACCCTGATCCCACACTTGTGGCTCTTCTGTGAGCACTGGCCTCCAGCCACTGAACTTTCTATGCTATGGCATAATGAGGTGGGGAGGTTTTACAGTTCACTGTAGAACAGTGAATGCGGAGCATCTAACGAGGGCTTCTCAGGACTATTGTTATTACTTGCTGGTCACCTTTCCTTCTAAGGTAGCACCTTACATTGACAGAGTTCCTAACATAAGATCAATTTATTAATTCATTAATAAATGTTCATTGAATGTCTTGTGAGTATATGCTTAGTTTTATAAAATAATCAGAAGTTGATAGTTATTACATTTTCACCTAGAAGCAAAGAAGTCCATCATGAAAAAACATCTTTTCTGAGTCAATTGGCATGCTTCCAAATAAAAAAATACAGCAGAAGTGGTCATCAATATCCTTGATACTATCAAAACATATTCTAGAATCTGTACTGCTTAGGGATGGTAAAGGTTAGTAGTCATAAAAAAGGAACATAACCTTTTTTGTTATTGAGTGTAGATCACTTGACAGATGTTTCTGCCCTTAAAAATATAGTTGAGTGTGATATGCCAGCACATTTTAAAAAATGGTAATAGAATATATGACACATGCACATATATATGAGAGAGGGAGAAAACAGGTAATGTAGAAACACAGAATCTCACAGAAAGTAACTCAAGTGGGGAGTGAGGTATTTAGAAAAGTCCTATTGTGGGATGCCCTTGTGGCTCAGTTAGTTAAGCATCTGTCTTTGGCTCAGGTCATGATCTGGGGTCCTGGGATCAAGCCCTCTGTGTCAGGCTTCCTGCTCAGTGGGGAGTCTCCTTCTCCTTCTCCTTCTGTTTCTTCCCCTTCTTGTGCTCTCTCACTCTCTCTCTCAAATAAATCAATAAAATCTTGAAAAAAAGAAAGTCTTACTGAGGAGGTGCCATTTAAACTGCAGTTTCTTTTCTAGAAGAATGAGAATTTTAGCAGGTGTGAAAGTGTGACAAGGACATTCCAGACTTGGAACACCGAGTTTAGGGGTATAGAACAGTAGAAAGGCTGATGGTAGAATTTCAGTGTGCTAAAATATGAAGGTGAGTGCTTTGAGAGAAATGTATACTCAATGCATAATACAGAGTAGATGTCCCATAAAAGGCTGTCAAATGAATTGAACTGACTGGTAGGAAAGATTCCTGAAGGCGTTCACTAGGTGGCGCTCCTTCTTTTTTGGCAGTATCTTTATAGTAAGTGGTAGAATATTTGGAATTATTGCTGAATTTTTGTGTTTCCTCCAGATATATTGTGTAAATAGATATAACCTAAGGCAGAGTGGCCTTTTTGTCTCTGTGGATGGTTCAGGGAATTCTAGGAATGAGGATTTCCAAGTAACATGATAAATTCTAACAATAATTGAGATTCTTTACGTGAGCGTATTATAGTCTGGAATTCTTTTTGCCTTGATAAATTTTTGTCTCTATTCATGAATAGAATTCCATTAAATGAATTCCATTTAAATTCTTTATTTAAAACTTTCTATTCATGGGGAATGCTTGTAAAAATAATTTTGTGTATCTTGAATTTGTTTGAAACTCATCTACTGAATCTGCTAGAATTAAGATTTATATCACCTTCCATTTGGGAAATAGGAATATGAATCTCAAAGCCATACAGTAAAAAAATATAATAGAAAAGGATTTTTAAAATACTTGGCTAATCACTTTTAGTCACAATCAACTTTATGTGTTCTGGAAATAGCTGAATTATATAAAAACCATAAATAAAATTATAGATGTACTGGGTCACATATTAATTTTGAAATATACAACTTCTCAAATAAACTCATCAGGCATTATTTTTGCCATTGATTTTGACATCTTTAGGGAAAGATTGGCAGGTATTTTAATAGCACATGCAGTGAAGTGACAATTTAAATCCAAAATTCTCCGGAATAATTATACCTCTAATTATCCCTATTAGTATTACGGAGCACATTTTGTTGTTGCTTCTTAACGAACAAGAAACATTGTCCTTATGTGCCCTTTTCAGTTTCTTCACCTACGTAGATTTTAAATTTTTATTCAAGAAAAATATCTTTTAAATTAGTTATAATAGAGATTCACATTTCAACAAGATTATGTTTTTATGGAATTCTGGTAAGAAAGTGGCAACAAAACTTCAGACGATTCACGGACAAATTCTCCAATATTCTCCTCATTGAGGACTAAAAAACAGTTGGGGCAGGGGAACAAAGATAAAAAACAAAATAAGCAAGTAAACCAAACTTTAAGAACAAGTCTGTGAGTAGCGTTTCTATGCGTTCGATCCAGGATTATGCGTAAGATTATAGTAAATTCATTACATGTAGTTGAGTGTAATAAGCATTGGTGAAAGGACAAGAAACTAACAAAGTATACAAAGTTTTCCCCTTCTCTCTTTGTTGTTTACACCTAGAGCAAATGTTAAAGATTGATTGCTGACTTGTCTGGAAATACCCTTGGGATGGTGTACTGACAGCTACTCTGAAAAGTAGCTTCTCTTCATATTTTGGATAATACAGCTGACTTCCTTACTTCTGATTTGTAGCCTTTTACCACATGACCCTCAAGATCACTGAGAGAGGCATGCAAAGCTATGCCCTGGACATCTCTTCTTGAGGCTTGCAATGCTGTTTCTGATTTCCTAGTGAATTCTTCTTTGAGGCTCAGATTGAATATTGACTTCTTTTAAAATGTTCTAAAACTCAGCTCTGTCCTCCCCTTTCTGCTCCCATTCCACTAAAGCAGACCACTTGCTATACAGACAAACGCTAAAACTCACCAACTTCAAGCTTTCCTTCCTCCTAGGTGTGCACGAAAATGTTTCCTTACTTCTTATA